TGGGCACACGGAAAATGTCAACACGCCGCTCCCAGCCTGCACAAAGGTCCCACAGGGCTGATAAAAACAAGGGACAGAGGGTGGTGGTTTCACCTCCTGGCGTCAGGTGATGTGGTGAGTCAGGTGTCCCCACCACGAACCCTGGCTCGGTGCTCCCAGCACAGGTAGAGTGTCTGGTGGGGGCTGCTATGGTGGGCTCACCCTCCCACAGGCACTGCTGTGAGACAGTGGGACTCAGGGTCCAGCTAATGATTCCCTGTGACACTGCGCAGGGTGCTGCCACGGTGTGCGGGTGGAGGAGGTGGTATCTGCTGTCAGACCCTGTCAACAGAGACAGGAGGCAGGGCTGGATGTCCCGATGCTCAGGTCTTCCTCTCGGAGAGTCTATTAGGAGGGGGCAGAGCTCCTCCCGTCCCACCCCCATCTCCCTTCTAACACCCCCGATGCTGCCCTGCATTTGGCAGCGCTCCCTTCCCGGGCCAGTGAGCAATGCAATGGGCTGGTCTCGTCATGCACCGTCAAAAAGACACCTCACAAAAAGGGACTGCACCAGGTCTTGCCCCAGCCCTGCAGGCAGAGGGGTGTCTCAGGGGGTTTTCTGGGCACAGAAACACACAGGGGTGTGCAGGGTCAGGAGATGCCCATGCACGGGGATCTCCTCCTGGGCAGTGCCACAGGGTCCCTGCCATCCCCTCCATTGGGGGTCCTGTGGCCCCAGGCACTGCCAGCCCGGCCAGCTCTTTCTGCCCCAGGGATGGGGGGATGGAGACCGGGGTCCAAACCCCAGACAGCAAAAATCACCCTTGGCCAGGGAAAGGCCAGCAGGGGACATGACACTGGGATCTGCCTGAGCGGAGCAGCTCTTCCAAGGCGGATACCGAAGGAGGCCAGGCACGGATGAGCATGTTTCCCAGCTGTATTTGCCACTGCAGAGCACCCGGCCTGTCCCCGAGCCCCTCTCAGGCCGCCCGCTTCTCCAGCAGTGCCATCACAAGCGCCGAGCCTTGCTTTGCCTCCTCCAGCAGCCCAGAGACCTTCTGCAACATCTGTGTGGGGAGGGAGAAGGTGCATCGTTTGCCACTTGACAGAACAGAAAAGCCATCCACCATCCACCCCATGCATCCCACTGGTGGCAAAGGGAGGGGGTGCCCAGGCATGAGGGATCCCAGGGGCTTCATCTCCGTCTCTGTCCCACTTCATCCCCACCACCAGGGCCGGGGCACACACACTGCCCCTGCTTACCGCAAGCTTGAACTTCTCATCCGTTATGTCTTTGAGGTTGATCACGACGTTGAAGTAAGCTCCGAACACAGCCGCTTCCAGCATTTTGGCTCCCACCTAGGAAAAGAGGCTTGCGAGAAGCTCTCCTGCTGATCCAGAGCACCACCATACAGTCCTGCAGCAGGGCAAACCCTTACACTGCAGGACTCCCACCCTCCTTGATCCAGCAGCACGCAACACTTTCCAACCCAGTATTTTCAGGACACAACTCTGGCAGTGGGAACCATTCATGGCCCTGCCACGCTGGTGGGAAAACTCAGGCAAGGGCTGGTGGAGGTCAGCTCTCCTACAAGGGTTGCAAGCTGCCAAAAAGTTAGTGGGTGGAAACCACCGGCCAGTTTGGGAAGCACAGCTGGAGGGATGCATCCTGGAGGTCAGGACACGATGGGACACCTTGCAGGGAAAAGCAGTGAGCCTGGCAGCCTCCAAAGCCCCAGCCAGGGCACCACATGACCCCGGGGCCATACCTGGATGTCAGATTTGCAGGCCAGGTTGCAGTGGCATGCCAGCTCCTTCAGAGCAGGCCAGAGCCCGCTCACCTTTTCTGCCAGGGCGCAGGGCACCCTCACGGCTGTCTTCAGCCCCTGTTGCATGGCAGCCGTGCGTCTGGGAGGGGGGAGAGCCCTGGTGTGAGCGCTGGGTGGACGTGTTCCCCCAGCCTGCAAGTCCCCACCAGCCCAGCTCACCTCTCCCGCTCTTCAGGGGTGCTTTTTGGCAGCTTCATAGCTTCCTGCAAGCAAAGAAAAGCAGATTTGCTGCCATTTGCTCCAAGAACCTGCATGCCTTGCATCAGGGGCCAGGGCAGACCCGATAGCTCCCATGCTCTTGCAAACCTCCTTTAGGTGACAATGTCCCTTCCCCTGGCCCTGGCTTGGGCCAAGGTAATAGCCCTGCTCCTAAGGACACCGGGGCACAGCGATGCCAGCCCCCCTCCCAGCTGGAAAACCCCACACTTCCCTGCCAGATGTCTGCCGCCGGTGGGACCTCACCATGTAGCTGCTGAAGGCACGGGAGTCGGCGTCCACCATTGCCACCAGCTCGTCCATGGCCTGGTGGAAGGGGGGGATCAGGTTCCTCATGATGGGGTCCAGCTCCTCAAACTGCCGCTTCCCATAGCTCATCAGCCCCACCATGCAGCCCAGCGCCGCTCCCTGCGAGGGCACGGGGGTAAATCCTCCAGCAGTACACAGCGCCCACCGCTACCGCCGTGCCCACTCCCCTCAGGGGCTTGGCACACCCAGAGGACCCCTCCAGGCAGGCAGGGACCCCATCATGGTATAGGGTACGTACAAGGGCAGCTGCGGCTGGCAGAACGGAGCCGCCTCCC